TATATATATATATAGGCAATTACAAAATGAACGACTATCATAATACCGCTATTGGTATTCTGTAACTGCTGGGATAATCGTTTATTATGGAAAAAAATTATTTACTAAGGTCAGAAAGGCTGATAAGTAGAAAAGAGACAAAACTGATGCAAAGTACCACAGCCGTCGCACTCTTCATGAAATATTACATTCGACCGCATTTACACAAATCTCATTTTCGACAGCGGCTCATAATGAATGCTCTACCGAAGGAGTACAATGTTTTATTCTTCAAAGCTGACATGAAAAGAAATATTCCAAAGCTTTGGGTGTCGGAGTATGGCACAATGAAATACGGACACGGATATTGTTAGTTATGAAAAGAATTTGTAACACACTGTGATTTTGTAATTTGTAAAAAAAAAAACAATTTGTAACAAAAAAGAGAAATCCCCGACCTTCTGGCAGAGCTAGACAGGCAGGAGAGCATAGAAAGAAATATCGTAAACAAAGAAATAAAAAAGTGTAGAGCCAGGTCATGTCATATTTTCAAAATTCCATTATTTCAAAGAAAAAAATCAGAGAAATCTACGATGTTTTGAAGAGTAATAAAATTTCACAGATCACTATATCAGCTATAAAACTAAAGCAAAGTGTTCAAATTTCATTGAAATTTCAAAAAAAATTTACCTGCCGCACTTGTTGGTATGGATGATAACCGTGAGGAGAACTAGTATGAACAACGGTTGGTGTAGCTGCCAAATAAGCTGTCGGCGCTACAGCTACTGCAGTTCCATTCACATATCCATTGGCAACAATTTGATGAGTAGAAACAACTGCCTGAAAACAACATTCTAGAAATCCCGAATGCAAGTATTGACGATACCAAGAAAATTAAAGTCAAGTGATACCGATAACTTACAAATATGAAACTTTCGCTGCACTAGGAAGCGCAAGTACTAAACATATACAGTGGGTTATTCGAATGAGACGCAGAAAAATCCATTATGAAAATAAAAACTAGGGACTCTGAATCACTCTACCTGAGTAACATATGTTAATGGTGCTTGTTGAATTGTATAAGTTTGATGAACTTGTTGCGGTCCATTTGTTTGCTGCTGAACGGCTACGAATGTTGTTGTTCCCGGAGTTACTGATGAGGCAGACGAACCAGGTACATAAGTTGGTATATAATTCCTATACATGGATATGATTTTCATTTTGACAAATATCAGATTTCAAAATGATAATGAGAACTTCCGACATCAAAAAACGGCCCATAAAGACGAAATTATGATTACTTGCTCCTTTGATTTGGATATATTGATTTCGCTGATGTTGCCAAATGCTTCTCTTTAATATGTCGATGAAGGCGTGGAAGAGAAGGAAACGGTCTGAAAACAATGAAGTGATATCACTGCATTGATAACTATGCTAACACGACATTTGAAAGAAACTACTTACTTTCCATCTTTCCTATATTTCAAACATGATGTCCATAAACACACAAATTGATTTTCACCATCAACTACTGAAAAAATAATAAACAGGTAAACATTCATAAAATACCAAGCTCTTGCAACTTACTAACCTACAATTCAAGAGCAAAAACTATCACTTCCTCGAAACTCTCCTTTTTACTTTTCTGCTCTTACTTAGCAGAGCTTCTTCTAAACGAAAATCCAATCTCAACTTCTATTTATTATTTATTACTCAAAAATATGTGATTACAAAATGCTTACCAATCTGGGAAGTATGTACGGTTTTTACGTGGTCATACAGTTCCTCCGGGTTATCATATTGGAAGTCACACGTCTGCCACTTGCACATATATACTCGAATTTGTCCAGGCTTAAATTTTGATGTTCATGTACTTCTATGAAAACAAGATTTCACGCCTTTAACTATGCAGCTCATACTTCCCCTACGAGTATCAAAGCCTGTGCATTCGTTCTTGAAAGAAGCTCAGCTTTTGTTCGAAAAACAACTAAAAAATTAAGAAACACTAAATTAGAAAAAATTATCAAAATACAACAAATTCATTTTTCTGTGATTAGAAAACACTCACCAAAATTCGCATATGAGGTGGCTCACGTGCTTCCTGTTTTGCCCGTTCATTTGCAATATATTCTGCTCTGATTTCATATTGTTTTTTTTGTTCTTCTGATAGTTTCTTCCACTATAAGAAAAAAGAATGATCAATGTCACTGAATTCACATAAAATATGGCTGAGCTAAACTTCTATCCGTAGGATTTAGAAAGTCGGTAACGTAAGTACATTATTACCTCGATGCCTACAATTTTGCTAACTTCACCGAAACCAGCTTCCGGATTCTCTTGCATAACCTTCTTCCGGACTTCGGCCGAAAACAAGATGTAACCACTTTTAGATCGCGCATTAAGTTTCGGCTGTGCCGCTAACCAAGTCACCAATTCCTAAAATTACTGTTTTAGGCTGACATAATAAATCTTCTTCCTGAAGAAATGCGAATATGCCACTATCTAGAAAAATTTTATTACTAAACCTATAAAAAATACCGAATTCATGGCACAATAGTATTTAAATACCTTTCCAGGAGTAACAGTAGTTGCAGCCGTATGTTCTGTACCATCATTTGATTCCGAAGCTGTTTCATCCATATCATCTAATGGCTCCATTGGTACCGATGAATTTGCAGCATGCATTAGTAAAGGTGACATCTCCTGCAAAATGGAAATTGAAAAGAGTGGAATAAAAAGCAATGTATATAAATTGTACATATTTTTTATGATGTTCACGAGTATTTTTTGGAATTTTATATGAACGAGTGCTATCATTTAAAGGCTTCATAATAAACATATGCAAATAACCAAGTGGATAAAACGTATTTTTTAAATATATATTTTCGATTAGGTTTATTTTTTTGAATTCGATGAAATGATTCAAGTACACCTTTACATGATATTTAAATTTTATTACATAAATAAATGCCTTAAATCCTAAACACTTAATGTCCATGTATTCGTGCAAGAATTATAAATAATACAGATTTTTTCTTGGGCTCGAGAAAGAATATGTCAGATTACATATAACTAACAAAAAGCATAAAGCAAGCTCTCTGATTTTGTTAACATAATTCTTTTTATTCGCATATCTTTTCATATCGATTTGTGACCACTGAATTTTGCAAAAAATCGACCACACTACTTTCTCCTTCTTATCACATTCAACACTTTCTGCTTGGTCTAATTCACACTCTTACCTCAATTTCCTTAACTCTAGAATATATTTGCTAACAATACATTGATAAGGAAAAAGGAATCTAATGAAAAAAATTAAACCTTAATATCATAATCAATTAATTATCTCGTCCCGCTGCATAGTAAGTGAAATATTTCTCCCATTCTCTTCTATTAAAAAACCCAGTTGTAGTCTTATAACGCGCAAATTTTTTCTCCCCTTTCTCATTACACAGCTTCAAAACAAGGGAAAGATTTCACATTTGCAAACGAAAGTAAACTTCAGTGTTTCACTGCGGAAAATTATTAGTTAAAAAAAAAAATTAACTAGAAATGAAATTTTCTAACACATGAAAGAATTTTTTCTCTCGATACTTATGTATATATATGTATGTAGCGGCACTTATTATATTTGCTGAGAGGGTAGAGGCGAATTATTAAGAGAAAAAGTAAACGGATTGTGGCAATGTTAAAATGGTAGAGTAGGCACGATGATAAGAGCGGCAAGATAAGGAATAAGAAAAAGAAGAGATGAAAGCTTATTAGCAAGACAAGTTCAAGATGAACGGTTGGCTAATTGCTCAGGTTCATTGACCAACATTATTTGGTATAATCGCGGAAGTAACATAAATCATGAAGAGAATTGTAGTGGATGAAATTTCATAATCGCATGCAGAAGAAAAAAACAAGTTACTATATTTGCTTAACTGATAAACAATATCACTATAAAGTGAATACTTCGTTTTTCTAAGCAACATTCACTGATGATAACCTTCAAAAAATTTTCGAGAAATGGTTAGATACAAATTCAGACTATTAATCAAAGTTAATATCAACGTTCGATTTTGCTTCACACACTCAACTACAACATGAAATTCTTCACATCACTCAAGATTATAACAATAATATTATATCTCGCATTTTATTTACATCATCAGCACAGCTTTATACTATGAACTTAAAAGCACAAGTACCTATCCCATTTTTCTAAAAAATTATTCAATAAAGTTTTGGAAACTCATTAGGAAAAGGATCAATGTTGAAGAGAAATGATATAATTACCTAAGAATAACGATATTAAAAAGCCCCCAAATAAAATATTTTTTTCTCCTTCAATTTAAATGAATTAAAAATTAACATACCTTTTCCATGGTGATTGGAGTTTTGAAATAATAAATTTCGGGTTCCAGGACTTCCGATGATAAGTTGTAAGTCTGAAAAGACAATGAGATCAGAATTCTTTCATTTTTTAAAACAACATGCATAAAGCACATAAAGAACATATTCGATGATATTAAAATAATTAAATTGATCACCATTACATTGCCCTATGAACAAATTTGTAACAATGTAAAAAATTATAAAAATGATTTAATAATATCAAAGATAAAATAAAAAACATGAATTTATCCCTTAATTCCAATAATTTATTAATTATGCATTCATCCTATGTTTCATTTATCAAACTTCCCTTTACACTCTCTAACCATTATAACCCATCACATAATATCCTCAAACATTATGTAACATACAATCTCATAGGCTAATTATTTACAACATATACTTCCCAAATTCATTTCTACTTCATCAACTATGAAACATTTTGTTATGTGTCCATTAAACTACAATTCTTATTTCCAAGCATTTTGTAGTGTATAAAAACACGAGATGACAAATATAATTTAAGTACAATCTACAGTTATCTTCACAACATCTAAACTATTGCACTTTAATATGGTATACATCGTTGCTACTACTTATCATTTCACAGAAGGCTACCATTTTTTATTTCAACTGTATTGGGAGTACCAGTCCTGCAACCACTATTACATTAAGCATAATTAAAATAAAAATGAAATAAAAAGCGAAAAAAAAAACAAAGATATTTTTACCATATGTAAACAACTCCGACATCATGAAAAAAAAAACAGACATATATGTATATAGAGAACCTATAGCAACATAGGACACAAGATAGTTGCACCTATAGCATCAGTCGTCTTATTTAGTTGCATCGTCAGAAACGATGACAATAATAACAACAACAACAACAAGAATGCTAGAGAGATACCGCTGGTTGCATTGGTTACAGGTCACGGTGCTCAAGACTGGTAACCCATTGCTGATAGCAGCTACCACTCTCACTATTACTATTGTTTTTATTGTTGCCGCTGCTTATTGCCCGGCTGGCTGATTATAAAGTGCCGCTGTGTCGCATGAAAAAGGTTTGCTGCTCCTTCTATTCTTGCCAGTGATAGTTGCAGTAGCGGAGGAAGGCAAGGGGATTGGGAAAGAAGGGTGTGGCGGGAGTGAGAGGGAAGGGAACGGGTAAGCTTGGAGATGAAGGCGACTCTGCTGCAGTTCATCCAGATATCGCTTCAGCTGATGATGGTAGCAGTAGGCGATGTAGTGGTTGTAGTGGTAGTGATGGTAGCAGTGGTAGCAACGGTCCTGTTAGATGTGCACCTAACAAGTTATCCTAGGCGGTCAACAACACCTTTGATCGCACACCATTGGTTGGATCAGCTATGCGTCAACGTCAACAACACCCGTCAACATCATCTGTCCTATCACCATCTATCGTGTATATGTATGTGTGTATGTGTGCGTACATGTCTGTGTATGAAAACACACACACACATACACAGACGAGCCTGGGTATTTTCCACTAAACAAAAGAATAGGCTCGTTCTGGAGGCAGTATACAACTGCTATAGACGCACCATTCATACCACCACAAGGCCTCGTGTGTATATATGTGTGTGTGTGTGTGTGTGTGTTTGCGTGTATTGGTGGAGAGTATATGCGGTGCGATGCGATGCGAATGCGATGTGCTGGGACATCGTCGATAGTTGTATTGTTAACAACGTACTTCTTCCCATCTCTTGCCTTTATGCTCTCTGTGATGAAGAGAGAGATATACATAGAGATATTCTCCCTTTCTCCCTCCCTCCTAACAGTGAGAAGAAATTAATTCTACAACTTTTTACTCATGTATCTCTTCAATTACACCATATCTCGTCAATTGCATCCTTTTCTACTCTTCCCTCTCTCTCCCTCCCTCTCTTCCTCTCTCTACGATAGAATTGTTCTCTTGTTGATTACACGACTCGTCAACAGCATCAACCTTTTTCTTCTCTTCCTTTCATATCTTATGCTAACATGCTATGTTTATGCCGAAAATTTGCCGTTTATGTTTCAAAATTTCAACGCTTTTTTACTTCAACTTTCTCAAACGTTAGTACCACATACTCAGTTAGGTTGTTCTGTAAGTACCACACGCATCCTTATTAATATCTTGGCGTGCCTATTCTACGGGAAATATCGATCCGGCCGATGTTCGGTACATGTGCATAGTCAGGGTACTAATTTGCCCGACATTCATTAACCCTTCTCTCCTTCCGCATCATTTTCCCACATCACACAAAGAGACACATGTGTACACACACACACACACACTCATCCCTATAAATTCTCTCTCTCTCCCTTTCATTACAAATTTCCCTTGAATTTATCCGTAGTGAGCGCGCGCTTCACATAAATTATAACATTTCAGCCCTATATATGAAACTGTGGAATTGGCGATCACTTGTCTGACATATCTGCTGTTCACTACTATTGCTTGGTTATCCCCCCCCATACCTTCCCCCTCTCTCCCTCTTCCTCCCCCCTCTCCCTTCGTCTTCGATGGAATTACTAGCACGGTACAAAAATCTAAAGATCTCGATAAGTCTGTATCCTACAAACCTAAGGAACACGATACCACACTTTCAAGAAAGATATAGGAAAGTAAAAATAAAGTAACTACAGCTTAGCCTAGGATGTCAGTTCCATTAAAACCATCAAATTTAAATCAAATGAATGCCGCAATTACCTTAAAATAACGCCGAAGTGATATTAATAAATGTATAAACTTTCATCTAATGGGACACATTGCTACATATGTTAACGGTTAAGCATCAATCTCTCCAATAGATCTCATCACTCCAATCGCTTCATCATTTATGTCTGCTTAGTCCATGTTCCATAATTTTCACTAGTTAAAAAAGAAATCCAACCGAAGAAAAGAAAGTAATCTACCTTTAAAGATTGCTTCAATTTTTTAGCATATGCATCATTCATCGGTTCTTCTTGATCGACGGAAGTAGGCGTGTTACGCACGGTGCTTGCAGCTTGATTTGACCCACTGCTGCTGTCATCATCCACAGAGATATTCGAAAATGAAGCAGAAAGAGTTCCCAATTTCGTGACAGTACCGGGCTGTTCGACGACATCTTTCGATGTAGATGGAACATTCGAATGGAAATCTTCTATTGTTTTTGCCGTTGACGGTGAGTGATCCATATCAGTTTTCAATGATGTCTTCTGTTCATTTGTCGATCCTACCGTAGAATCATTTGCAACACTTTTTGATGCATAGTATGACGATTTACAACCTGTTAAACTGCACCGTTTTCCACCAACTTCATAACCTCGTACTTTACTTTCCACTACATATACATCACGTTCATCAATCTCCGTTGGTCGTCCTAAAAAAAAAAACATGCTCAGAAATTTCCTGGATTCTAAAACAAATATTTTTATTCTTATTAGTTTATACGTTCGATATGAATCACAATTAATGACAAGATTTCAAGTGATAACTGAAACAGTCAAAAAAATTTTGCGCTCTTGCAGATCTTTCATGCGTTTAGAAATTAATATCAAATTTTTTTCTTGCAAACAATTTGATAATGGTGATTTTTAGTTGCACGAAAACCTTCACAATATTCCCGAGCATCACATAGCATTATATCCTCGAATGCCAGTTTTTTAAATCTTTGCAGATAAGAAAGACGCAGTAAAATAAGTATGACATATATTCACTAATTAAACATTTAAATTCATTGCAACCTTTGGTGTATTCTTTAATGTGCATGACTGCGCAAAATCCTTGAACATTTTCTAGTGGAATAGTTATATCGGGCTGATCGACAGCAAACACTTCTTGCTTGTAGAACATCCGTGCCGGTTCGTGTTTGATTTCGCGAGGACGTGCAAAATAGGGCCCCGAGAAAAACCCATCACCCCTTAAAATTCTTTAGGTATATCGAAAATAAATTTGGAAATAGGAAACCCTTTATCAAACCCTGTGAAAGCAAAAAGCAAATTACACAGAATTTAGCGATAAAAAAGTAATCACTTACTCAATTGTTTTCCACAGTTTATCGACCCGTAGTATGGCATTTCGATTTTTCAATGGATTATATACGTAGACGAAATCTCCTAACTGATACCAACGATCATTGTATTGCATTTGTTCGTAGAAGATCATCGATTTGTTGGAAAATTCTGGTGCGTCTAAAATCCAGAAATAAGGAGAAACGGTAAAATCTTCTTAGTGATGAATAATTACATTTTATCAGTGGGCGGATCAAGGATCAATAAAGTCAGGATATCTTAATCTCTCACAGCCGTGTTAATGAGGCGATTTTTGACATATTTTTAAAACGAAGTTTAATTACACAACTTAATTTTGTCTCATTTACTAAAAGTAAAAATTAAATTATACACTGTATTTAATTCCAAAAGTCCCCTGTTTCATTTCATTTACTCCTATTTAAAATTATAAAACAGTGTAAAACAGACTGACGTGAGCTACTGTGAAATGAAAAAACAAGCAAACATTACGAAATAATGATCAAACGGAGAAGTTTTTTATTCCAATTCTTTTTTTTTCGAAGGGAAATTCACCCTTGTATTGAAGATAAACAGCTAATTGCAACTTTATTTTTTCAAATACGTTTTCTCGCTGAACGCCATACCCGTATTTTCTGCATAGTAAAAAGCTTCTGATTTTTTCATAAAATATAAAACATTTTAGCCTTTCACAAATGTGACTGAACCTGCCAGATTTTCCAAGCATAAAATACAAAAACTCCGCTACATATCTTAAATATCTTGAAAAAAATGCTAACTAAAAATAATCATAAACAACCAAAAAAACTTACCACTGCATACAACTTCCACTCTTTCTTTTTCCAATACTGCTGGTAATTTTTTCAAACGATCGTCCTCCAACGATGAAGCTGAATCAACTGATTCCTTTAAAAAAAAGCGAAAATTAAAACCACATATGAGATAATAATGAGATGAATAACCGCAGAGCTATTTAAAAAGCACGTAAATTTCGATTCCCGGAGGAAATCCATTCGTTTTTTTAAGTTCATCTGAGAACCATTTTTCAAATGACTGTACTCTTACAATACTGCAGCAAATGAATGACTGATGGAGAAGGATTTCACTACAGTTTTTTTCGTGAAATTTCAAAAAATTACGTCATCATTCGTGCCAACTACCGCACTCGGATGAGTCTGAAATGCTTTTCGGCTTGCAAACACTGATGTAACACGTTTTATTACTGTTAGGGGTTTCTCTCGTTTTACATATTCCACGTTCTCGTCTTCTGAGTGATATGGCCAATGCTGTAATGAGTGATACATAAATACGTGCTCTTTTTGAAATGAATGCCCATCATGAGAAAGAAAAAAAAACTAATACAGATTAAGAAAGACATAAAAGTATTATTTTCAATTACTTTCAATTTCTTGAAATGCAGTTGTCGACCCATATAACGGCATTCACATACATATATATCACAATCTTCAAAACCCTAAAGTAGGAATACAGTACCGAGTATTAAGAGCGATTTATTAATT